AATAGAGTTGACTTTTTTTTTTTTTTTTTGAGAGACAGGGTCTCACTCTGTTGCCCATATTGGAGTGCCATGGCAAAATCACAGTTTACTGCACTCTTGAGCTTGTGGGCTCAAGTGATCCTCCTCCCTCAGCCTCCCAAGTAGCTGGGACTATAGGCACGTGCTGCCATGCCCAGCTAATTTTTTAAAGTTTTTGTAGAGATGGGGTCTCGCTATGTTGCCTAGGCTGATTTCAAACTCCTGGCCTCAAATGATCCCCCCACCTTGGCCTCCCAAAATGCTGGGATTACAGGCATGAGCCACTGTGCTCGGCCAAGTTAACATTTTAATTGAAAGCAATTTTCTTTGTAATTTGTCAATTGATATTTGAACAGCATTTATCCTTCTAGGTAGTATAATAATATACTTATTGGAAACAAAATATCTGCACTAACCTTTTTTTTCCTTTTTTTTTTTTTTTTGAGACAGAGTCTTGCTCTGTCTCCTTGAGTAGAGTGCAGTGGCGTCATGGTAGCTCACTGCAACCTCGAACTCCTGGCTCAAGCGATCCTCCTGCCTTAGCCTCCCAAGTAGGTGGGACTACAGGCGTGCACCACCACACCTGGCTAATTTTTTCTATGTTTGATAGAGACGGAGTCTCATTCTTGCTCAGGCTGGTCTCAAACTCCTGGCCTCAAGTGATCCTCCTGCCTTGGACTCCCAGAGTGCTAGGATTACAGGCATGAGCCACCACACCTGGCCTGCCATTACCTTTTTATTAGTATTTCAGCTGAAATTCAATTTCAGCTGAAATTCAGTGGGGAGAAGCATCTTCCCAAATGTCCTTGTTTTATTGTAAATAATTCTACCATGAGCATCCTTGTACGTGCTTATTGTATGCTAAATACAAATCTTGCAGTATTCATGAAGCTTTAAGAAGGCACTTCAAATGTTGAAAAAGATTCTCTGAGGAGGGATTGGCAGTGGTGAGGTCCTAAGAGTTGTAGCAGCTATAAGGGCAGAGATCACAGTTGTTTGGCTCACCAGTGTGTTTGAAGCCATGATCTAGAGTCAGTGTGTTAGTGACTGCTCTAAGAGGCTTTATGTTTGGAGAAAAAATAAGTAAGGGAAGCACAATTTTCTAGTTAGTGCCATAAGAAGTTACAGCCGTCAAATCTCAATTTCTCAAGAACAAAATTCAGAGATGCTGAACTAAGTGAGCAAAGATCATTTCCTAAATGACAAGTTAAGCTAAGTGACAAAAAATTTAGAGCCATTATTTATAAACATTGAGTAAATTCTAAGTGGGATCTTGTGCTAATTTAAAGATAAACTCATCTTCTATAAATGAAAACATGTATTCCTGTTATCTGTATACCCTTCACTATTTTAACAAATATTTTTGAGATTATATGCATGTTCCCATAATGCCTTGTGTTCTCAGTTATCACACTGTGTTGAAATTGATGGTTTACTTGTTTACCCCAGTGGGTGCCCAGATAAAACTCAATGGATGGATGGATGTTGGATGTGCAGTACTGAGGGAAGAATCCTGATGAATCACCACATGGCCTTTAATATCCAATTTCTGCAATAATTGCTCACTTCTGTGTGTGTATATCATTGGGTGTGTTTTTTGGCTGGTCACACTCACATGTAGATGTTTTGAGTACTGTTAACTGAGTTTATTTTCTAATAAAACCCTATTCATCCAAAGAAATCTTTTATTCTGAATCAGTAGAAAGTCTTAATCATAGGGTGTTTTAAAAGAATTGTAGATTATTAGTCATATGCTTACTATAACACAGTCTTAAAGCTAATGAGTGACTTTTCTAAGTTAAAATCCTATGGTTCTAAATTTCTGTCGTCCTCATATAATGAAGAGGTATAATCTATTAGTACATGCTAATATTATGATGTTAGTATGATGATTATTACAGTGCCTGTGTAAGTAAATGATGTTAAAATGCTTTAAAACAATTTATTTTCATAGCATTTCTACAATAATGGTAACTTTATTTTCTTACCACTCCTTTCCCATAAGGCAAAAACAAACTGGGTGAATTATCACAAAATCAGTATTAGCCTAGACCTGAATTAAGAGACTAAAGCTCTTTTCATATCATCCTCTAGAGTTTAAGTTTGGCTTGTCATGGTTGATGTTATTGTGAGATATTTTGGAGCAACAGAAAATCATTTTACTTCTACCTATAATTTTAGAATTCATCAAGCCCGTTGGACCTTTTGAAATAACTACAGAAGTTATGAACTGGCTGATTTTGGCACTTACCTTGATTTGGCAAGTGAGGAAACTTGGGCCCAGAGAGATTAGGCGAAACTTTCCAAAGTCCTGGTGCCTGAGCCACATTTTCTGATTAACCACCCAGAGATTTTTCCATGTTGCACGTTGCTTCCCATGTAAAGGATAGAGAGGAAAATTATCTTATCAAATGGCCAGGAAGGGTGTTTTTCTGAATTAATTAGCTTGTAGTGTCACTGAACTTGTGTGTAACAGTTTCATATTTCTCTTTATTGCAGAATGCAAAGTATGGCGAAATCCACTAAATTTATTTAGGGGTGCCGAGTATAATCGGTAAGCACTTTGACAGCTTGGGAAACAAATGGGTCTGGTTCAGAGAGCAAAGACAGCAGCAAATGTTTTTGCTGGTTCATTTAGGGGTCATTGTAATAGTCTGCTTAGTGTTTCCATTTTTTGATACTGTCCTCAAATGTTTTGGTTTTTCTGTTTTATAAATATTTTAGCTTTGGAATTGGGATAATGTGCAAGAATGTGTAGTTTTTAGAATTTCTCTATTACAGTTATTCTTTTCAGTGTATATTGTATAATTAAAACATGTTGAAGCTTACCTGGACATGATTAAAAAGATGCCATAGAAGTTATGTTGGAATTTAATTTAGCAAAGTAATTAGACAAATTAGAATTTTCATAGCTTTTGGGAAATGTCTATTCATAACACTAATTAGAGAAGGTTTTCATTAGCAATGGCTAGTAAATCTCGAGATAAAAATATGGGGGGAAATGTTTATTTCCTTCAAGCTGATATAATTCCTGAAGGGAGAATAGGATGACTTTTTTAAAAGATTTTTTGTATTCATTAGCAAAGCTATTTTAGTATTAGTTAATGGTTTATATTTCAACTCCCTTGCAGCTTATTATTTTGTAGGTCTTGCTTTTTCTCTCTTAGAAGTGTCCTATCATCTTATTTCCCCTTTACAGGTATACTTGGGTGACAGGACGAGAGCCTCTTACTTACTATGACATGAATCTCTCTGCCCAGGACCACCAGACATTCTTTACTTGTGACTCGGACCATCTTCGTCCCGCAGATGCAAGTATGGAAAAATCCTTTAGATAGTTGCTGAATGGGAGGGTTTTTTGGCTTGTTTTAAGAAATAAAGTTTCTGCTTTTAGAATATCTGCTTTATAAAAACCCCAATGAATAAAAATATTTATTACATTGCTGATTGACTAGGAGAACTTAGAATTCTGATACTTAAGTAAAGCTTTATCACAATGAGGTATCAATGTAGAAATGAGTTCCCTCATTATAATTTAAAACATAATTTTAAAAAATATATCAAAGTTGGATTCATATATCTTTAAGAAATATGTCTTATACAAAGCTAATTAAATTCTTATTTCAGATAGAATGAAACGTCTTATCTCCTTAATGATATTCTAAATAGAAATTGGCATTTACTGAATCCAAATAATTAATGTATTTTAGTGACTTTTCTGCCTTTTTATAGGTCCATTAGCATTGAATGGCTTCATGGCCATGGCTATTGGAGTCCATATGTGTTTTCCATCATAGAGAAGACATTGTTCAGGATGTATTTTATACTGCTTGAATTCCAAATAATCCTACTGAGATTTTTTTGTATTATTAAACTTAAAGTTTATAGTCAAAGTCAAAGTAAATAAGTGAAAAAAATCTTTAGAGAAAGGAATATGTACATCCTTTTAAGAAACTTACATATAAAATACAAATTTATAAAACAAATTCAATAAAAGATTGTTACTGTTTTTTTAAAAGGTACCCTTTGCTGTGGTGGAAGATCATAATAAGATAGATATTCCCAAGCATTGAGTTTTGTACAATATGTTCACAAACTGCTCTGATGTATGAAAATTGGGTTTGCAGGTAAATTTGGGGATCAAGTACACATGTTAAGCAAAACCCTAAAGTACTTTTACTGACTCTCTTCAAATGGTTTCAAAATGTTCTAATATCTAAAGCGTGTAGGCAAGTGCTCAGGAAAATGATTGATAGAAATTATGTGTGTCTAAGCAGAATGATGAGATAGGTATTATAGCTATGCCTCTCAAAATGTGTAAAATAATATATGTTCTCTAACAATGACATTAGTGTGCAAAAGAAATATAAACTCTCTGTTAGAGTGTCTTTTCTTGAATTCCTTAGCCTGTAATTCTGTGGGCACAAAAAAAGATTTGCTATCAGCAATAGAAGAACAATAGAATAGCAAATTAGAACTTATTTGTGTGACTTTGGAGATTTGGACCAACCCTCTTAGTAATGAAATATTCTCTTGTAATTTAAGCTGAAAGCTTTTAATTTAGCTATTGTCCTGTGTTGAGTCTTCCTAATTGTATATATATTGATTGACTTGCTTTTTTTCTTTTTTATAAATAGTAATGCAGAAAGCCTGGAGAGAGAGGAACCCCCAAGCTAGGATTTCTGCAGCTCATGAAGCCTTGGAGATAAATGAGTAAGTGGGGGGGAATCTTGCTTTTAAAAATGAAATCTCTTCCTTTGCTGACTATATTCAGTTCCCATTGATACGATACTTACATTAAACCATACATTGGAACTGGAGGATTATTCGGGGGTGGTTATTACTTTATAAAATTTTTCTTTATGAAGGACAGCCACGTGGAGGTGGTTTTAGTCATTTTAGAGAGCAATTCAGTGGCTTTGATATGACCCTAAATTAAATCCTTCAAGGGCTATCCCTAGCATATTATGAGGATATAAAATAAATACAATTCTTTACATATCTAAAACATTTTGACAGGGAAATTTTTCCAGATGTGGAATGTTCATTGGTATTATAACACTTTCTAGGTAGAACTTATGCTAGTGGGGAAAACATAATAAAAACATAAGATGACAAAATATCATTTAAAAAAATATTTCAAGATCAAGACAAAGATAAGAGGAAATGTTGTCCTTAGTGTTGTTAAACATTTTATGGGTTACCAAGGAAGACTGGGAAATCTCTTCTGGAGATCTCAGAAAATGAGAAAGATTCTTAGAGTTGGAGTCATAAAAAGTCAGGGTTGGCAGAGACCTTAAAGGTCATTTAGCTCAACCACCCATCTGGTGCTTGAATCACCTCGACACTATCCTTGCCAAGTGGTCATTGTTAAACTATTTTATGATTTTTCTGAAGAAGGTTACAGAATCTTCTTTGGAGATCTTAGAAAAAAGATTTGCTCGAGAGTTGGAAATCCTGCCACTGTAACCAGTTGATTTATATGGTTTCTGATTCTGTCATGCAACATATTTATTTTCCAGTTTCCAGTTTCTTGTCATCTACAAATTTGATATGCCTGCCTTCTGTGTGTCATCCATGTTTCTGAAAAAAATATCAGGGCCAGGAATAGAACCTGTGATATGACATATAGAAACTACCTCCATCCAGGTTCATGTCTTCATGAATCACCATCCTTTGGTATTGTTCACCCAACTGCTGAGCCACCCAGTTACACTGTAATTCAGCCTGTTTTTCTCCATTTTAATATTAATAATGCCAGTTGTAGCTATGGATCTTTAATTCATAGCAAATCTATTAGAGTAAATTAAGCTAGCACAATCTGATTTATTTATTCTTAGTAAATTTAAGCTGGCTTCTAGTGGTCAATTCTTTTTAAAATGCTTGGAGACCATCCCTTTACTAATCCATTAGAGTATCTTTCCAAATCACTGTTCTATAGTTTGGGAAGTCTACGTTCTTACCCCTTTTGATAATTTAAGCTGAATTTGTCATCTCATCTTCTATTACCTCTCCATTCTTTGTGATTTCTCAGCTATCCACAGAGAGCAATTCCATGGCCTTCCTACAAGGTCTTTTGGCTTCCTGGGATTTGCCCATCCCAGTACAGCAATTCATTTAGAATGGATTAGTTATTTGCTATCTTATATCCTTATACCCATTTTAAAGTTTAATTTCTTCTCCCTTTTTCAATCTGACAATCATTCTCCTTGATAGAAAACCAGGAACAAAATAGGAGGAAGAGAGTTTTGCTTTCTCTTTATTATCTACTGCTATTAATGATGAACCTTCCTTATTTTGATGATGTTGTTGTATCGTTTGTCTTATTTTGCTTATTTGCTTTTCTGGTGGTTTTAGAGAAATCGGGGTGGTGATAGGGCCTTAAACATGATTTAAAAACAGGAAATAGTTGTCTTTAGCATTTTGTTTTGTCTTTATTTATATATTTATCTATCTATTTATTTATTTATTTGTAAGCTTCAGCTAATTTGGAGTTTTAGCTCTTCTGAAATTATTCTTAGAAGTTCATTCCACTCTCTTACAGTCCTTCATTACATACCCTCTTTCCATCTTTTTTTACATGTCCTTTAAAAATCTGACCTGGGAGAAATCTCTGTGAAACCATACTGGTTTAAGTGCCATCCCTCTTTTCTTCCTGAGAGGATCATTTGTGAGTGCCGTTATAACTGGATACTTGGAAGCTGTTCAGCCCTCTTAAACCATTTTTCCTTCTGAGCCTCATGCCATTGAATCATGCTTCTTTTCTTTGAAGTTTTTGAAGTTCACTGTCCCCTCTTTGATTACCCCAAACTCCAAAATGACATAGTAACTCTCTCTGAATGTTCCTACCAATTTTCATTTCACCAACTATTTTTTTCTTCTTGGTCAGAATTAGGTCCAGAGTTGAAGTTCCCCTAATTGCTTCCTCTACCATCTGGGAGATAAAATTGTTACCAAAGTAAGTCAAGAACCTGTCGGGTGCCCTACTTCTAACCAAACAAGACTTCTAGCAGATATCTGGATGGTTGACACGCCCATCACCACACTTTCTTGCTTCTGTATGTGTATTGTGTTGTGACAAGGATGCATCATCTATATCTTCCATCGAGCTGAGCAGTCTGTTCTGTACTCCCCAACCATTAGCACTTCTATTGCTCTCTCCTTTCTCCTTCACTCACAAGCTCTTAGCATGTTTCTACCCCAAACTCATGAGTTTCCACATAGATGTATGTTTCTTGGCCAGTAGTGCTACTCTGCCTCTCCTCCTAAGAATACTGTTTGAAATACAAATAAGCAAAGCAAGCAAGCTGGCCCCAACCATTCTTGAGTTCCCACCCCACCAACTATAATCTTATAGCTAATTCCTCTGATACTATATCTACCACTCAGTATATAATCTCAGCTTTCACTTTATTACCCTTAACCCATATTTATATGTTGGCATCTGAAGCCTTAAGTATTTCCTCTGATGCCTATCCCAGTTATTTTCTCCAGTGAATCACTTGGACAGTTTCAGCATCATTATTGTTCTTTCCAAGTCATATATGCTGCCCTCCGTAGTAATTGGTTTTACAGCTTTTTTTCTGGGCATTTCCCTCCCTCCCTACAATATTCAGCTTAAAGCCCAATTGATAGTTCCTGCTGAAATTAGAGGGATTGGCTAAAGAACTTACAAGACCCTTCCTCAAAGCTAAGATTGACTAATAACCCCAAACCTCACATTAGCTGTACAGTTCAGCCTCCTTTTCCTAGCTGGCTGTTGTAGTTTATGAACAGTAAAAATAACATTTGGTTTAACTTTCTGTTTATTTTCTCTCTTGTGGTCTGATGGAGATAAGTAGGGAAATGGCCACAAGAGAGGCAGTAGAGAAGAAGGAAAGGGAAGGGATGGGTGTGGTCTGCTCTGGCCTCACCATTTCCCTTACATTTCCTTTCTTTGGCAGTGGGTTGTTCCACATATGATTTGGAAGGTTTAAATTTCCAAGAGCTCCCTTTTTTCATTAGTTAACTGTTTATCCTTTCTGGCTTCCTACCTTAGAGGGTTGTTGAAAGGATTATATGAGATGATATATGTTAAGTGCTTGGTTTAGTGCTTAATATATACTGAGCAAATGGTAGCTATTGTTGTTAAAGGCATGAAATTTAACTCTTGTTAGCCACTGTGGCTGAGTCAGATTTTGAGCTCTTCAGAAATAACACTACCTATAGGTTCCTCTAGTGTGCTCTGAAGCAAAAAATCAGTGCTAATTATAATGAGATGTTAAAGCACTGTTTTTTTCAATGAGTAACTTGATTTAATGAATTTCTCACTCAGAAGAAATCCTTAGATTGAAGAGAAACTGTATGTAGTAAACAGAAGTAAACTTATATATAGTATCTCTAACTTTGAGTGTCAGAGGGAGATATTTAATAACAGCTATTATCATCATCATCATTAGCTGACATTTATTGAGCACTTAACCACATGCTGGCTACTGTACTGAGCACTTTACATACATCACCTTACTTAACCTTCACAACAACACTGTGAACAAATAGATTCCATGTTGTTCTCCGTCAGGGAGGCAGAGTAATAACTTGCCCAAAGTGACACACTCATAAGGGGCGGAGTCCATATGTGAGCCTCATGCTCCTAACACTACGCATCCTACCTCTCAAGCTAAAATATAGATGTTTCTTTTGTACCATTATTTTGTGTCAACAACTGCAAACAGGGGTGCATGAACCAGTTGGCCACTCTGCATGTTTTGGCGTAACTCCTTGCCCTTCTGCATGAACTCCTACAGACTATTAGCATGTCTTGGATTTGTAATTGATGGTGGCTATTATCTGAATGGACAGGTGTGCAACTGCTTATATTCTCTTGGCTGAAGAGGAAGCAACAACCATTGCTGAAGCAGAAAAACTGTTTAAGCAGGCCCTGAAGGCTGGAGACGGCTGTTACCGGCGTTCTCAGCAGCTACAGCACCATGGATCCCAGTATGAAGCCCAACATAGTAAGGTTTCCTCCAGGTTGATGCACTGGGGGATCAGAATTGTAAAATGATTCATCAGAACAGATTTTCAGTCAAAATATGATTTTCCTAGATGAGAAAAATATTGGCTTTTGCTTTTCTTGGTTTTTATTAATTTTTTTCTTTCCTATAAGAGCAATTAGTACATTTATAGCTTCATTACTGCTTATGTTCACATTCTCTTTCCTGCTCATAGATTCCTAACCCCCAAAACAAATGGCAGTACCTTTAATGGAAACCTTGTTTTCTCCCCAGAATTCTTACATATTCCTGTTCATCAGTTGCTTCTCTATCACATAACTTTTAAGTCCCAAGTGGGAAACAGTACTTAAATTAGTGTTAGTGTTATCAAATGTTTTATCTTATAAGTCTTCTACAACATGAGTTGAAATAGGACTACTGAGAGTATAAGAGTTATTGGTGATTATATCAGCATTTGGCTCTTATTTAAGAAACATTGGTATTGGCTTCTAGAGAGAAAGAGCCATGAGTTTCCTAATCATTTATCTTTTTATATTAAAAATAATGCCTTTTCTTATTTAAGATAACTCTTTAAAATCTGAGACCTTTCACTTCAGTACACTCAACTGAGAGTCAGTGACATTTTGGGGGGACAGTGTAGAAACAAGACGACAAAATCATTTCTAGAATTCCCTGAGCCCCTTGCCTGATCAATTTGTTTAAACAGAAATGTAGCAATCCTTGTGGGAGGAGAGTGTTTTCATTGTCTTACCAAAATTTGGGTTGTTTTTCTTAAGGAGCAATTTCTCTCACCTCATTTCTTCCTTCCGCAATTTGGAGAGTATAATCTCATATTTGAGATTATAAAATTAAATTTTAATGTTAAACCTGTATTTGGTGTAGAAACTGACTACATTAGTCTCCATTACCAAGGTGTCAGCAAGATCTTTGCATTACAGCCTCTGTATACATGAGTATGTCCACATAATCCATCAATACACAGATTTTTATTTTTATTCTATAGTGAGTATATATGTTAATAAAGTTTCTAATCACCATTCATATCGTACTTTTTAATTAAAAATAGCACAATGCATTTTGAAGACATGTAGTAAATGTCTATTTTGTGAACTAAATGGAAATTAATACATAAAATTACATAATCTATAATACAACTTAAGAAATTTTCTTTCTTTTCTTCTCTAAATTAAATTCTTTCAACTTGTTGCCTAAATCTATCCAAAAAATATAATCACATCTTTAAAATAATTTGTAGGCACTTGGCAAATTTTCAGCACACATCTTGTTCTCATTGTTTAAAACTTGAAATGTTAGGACTTTGGTCTTAACATCTTTTAATAGCTGCATATTATACATGTACTTAATCTATAACAGGTGTGTCATATTTTTCTCAAACATGGTAATTTTATTGAGGATTAAGCACATGCATGTTCTCACTGGTCTGGAAACATATCCAGAAAGACATACAATTAAATAAAAGGTTAAGATAAGAAGTTGTTAATGTACTTTTTAAGAGCCATTTTAGTGACTATTGTTATAACTATTTAGCTTGTCAATGCATTCTCTAACACTAGGGTAGTTTTTCATTTTGTTGCATACTCTGTTGTCATATCTGGAATGTGTTATATTGCCATCTAAAATCAACTGCTTTGGGGACCTGGAGATGATTATGATGTCACTAGTGTCAGGGAAAGAATAATATAAAGCAGAAGTTCAAGATGAGGCTTCTCCAGACTTAATGTCAAGGACGAAAAAAAAATAGATCATCAGGATGCAACCTGAGATTCACCTCTTTGCATCTTACCAAAACCATGCACACTTGAAGAATGTGGAATTCTTGCTTGTAAACTGAATGCAATGTGGGTATGTTCACTTCCCCAGCACTTTGTGGCAGATGATTTTATTTATTATCAAGTATTCCACATCCTAACTCTAAAGCATGGATTAGGTAATTAGTCATGTGATTTGACCTTTGGAAGTCTAAGTACTTTTTACTGTACTCAGTATTCATTCTACTATTAACAGAGTTGTCAGTGCTTCTGGCAATAAGGAAAAGCCAAAGGAACTGTTTCTGAGGTTTCCTTTAAGAGGAAGGCAAATGGGCCTCTATATTTTTTCTTGTTGCTCAACTGAAAGCTGTTTTTTTTTTTTTTTTTTTTTTAATTGTGGTGTTTTATATCTCCCTCTTCAGGACGAGACACCAATGTTTTGGTCTACATCAAAAGAAGGCTAGCAATGTGTGCCAGAAGACTCGGGAGGACCAGGGAAGCAGTGAAAATGATGAGAGATGTGAGTTTGAACTTGTATTTGGAATCAGTGGCAATGCACCTGGCTTAGAGATGTAGGAGCCCACTGAACAGCCAGAGCAAATAGTACCAGTGGTGGTGTAGTGGTCCCATGGACTCTGGAGCCAGCCCCTCTGGGTGCAGCTCTAGCTCCCAAGTTACTAGATGAATGATCTTGGGCAAGTTGCTTTCCTCATCTCTAAGATGGGGATAACAATAGCAATCCTCACAGTTATTTCTTAGGATTGTTGTGAGGATTAAATGAGATAACACATGCAAAGCTTTTAATAGAGTGACTGAAATATTAAAAAAAATCTCAATAGATGTCCTTGTTATTAAACCTTTGGGACTGTAGCTGGAAGCCAATAATGAGATCAGCCATTTTAGCTAACTGACTTTTTCTGTGTATAGTTGCTAGAAAGATTTGAATAAATTATGGGTCAAATTGCTGGCCTCAAATTTAGTAATATTATGAGTTAATCCTATTGTAGTCATTTCAAGCATTTTCCTAGATTCTTGAACCAAGATACTGTATTTGTAGTAGTCAACATAAGAATTAAGAAGAGAAGAAATAGGTGAGAGTTTTAAAACAAAAGAGAACAAAGGGAGGTTATTATTATATAGCTTTAAAACAAAACAGGGGTTGTAAAGGAGAACAGTTAAGGAACATTCCATTTGTTGTTGTTGTTTTTAGTAAGAAATATTTTTCATAAAGAAACTGACACCAGTGTGAATTGTATTTATAAGCCATTTTCTTTTTACAAACAATCGCGGAAAACCTTGGGCAACATTTTGTTCTTCTGCTTTATTCCTAAATTAGAATACATGTATAACTGCCTATTATAAAAATGAAAGGACCAAGAGGCAAGATGAAAGTGGCATCTTGTCCAATTCTCAGCTCGTGGATTTGAGCACAAGACTGTGCAAACCTAGTGAGCCTTTTCTCAGTTTGTCTCTGCAAGGGCAGGTGTTCCTGTGAATTCCCACTTACTCTTTGCAGGAGGGAGCCTACTCCCAAGGCCCACCCCTGGTTATTTCTTCAAGTTACAGCAAATGTGAGAAAGCCGAAGTAAGACCCATGCTTGGGTTCTGGCTGCTCCATTAAATAGAAGTGTAGCTGCTAAATCTGAGAAGAACAAGAGGGGATGATAATAAAATCATTCTATTTGTTTGAAGGTGATAGATGCTTTTTAGGCAAAGCCACTGCAAAGGGGATCTGCTAGGATTAAATTCTTTTGGTTGAAGGAAGAATTTAAAGAATGTTTGTTATGTAGCATAAGTGCTAATTTTAAGAAAAGGTGATTTCTGCAGAGACATGAACTGGCTCTCAAAGCTTTTTAACTTACAGAAATTCCATCCCGTGACATAGCAAAGAAACTCTGCCAATCACTTTGGCTCTGAAGGAGCAGGGAATTTTAGGAAGGGTGGGATATTTCTTTATCTCAACCTGGCCAAGCCACATTCAACCTTTAACAGTGTTTTATATCTATTGCCTCTTCTTAACCTTAATTAGCCTGGAAGAGGCATGCATTTAGGAGCAGATTTTGGTGATTTTCCTTATTATGTTTTTAAACAACTGAATAGGAAGAACAAATTCTGATGATTTTAATTCGTTTTTTCTGTCACTCTCATTCTGGTTATTTTCAGTAATACACATAAAATTTCATGATTAAAATCAATACCTCTATACTATGATTTGCTTTTTTGTTTAACATTATTTTACATTTACAATTACATTTATTGACCTAGTCCAAATACAGATCTGTGGGGAGAGTTTGGGATGCAGTGGAAGAAACTGGACAGGGGGTCAAAAACCTGAATGTGAATGTCAGCTTTGCTATTTACTAGCTTTATGACTCAAGGAACTTACCTTTTATGGGCTTTTCATTTAGTTTTCTGTAAATCGGAGATAATGATTTTTACCAAAGAGGATAATTATTGATGGGGAGAATTAAATGAGGTAATGTGAAAATATCTGGCATATAGGAGGCATGTTTCTAATTTTTTCCCTAGTATGCCATAATTCACTTGACTATTCGCATGATGGACTTTTTTTTTTTTTGAGACAGAGTCTTGCTCTGTTACCCTGGGTAGAGTGGAGTGGCATCATCATAGCTTACTGCAACCTTGAACTCCTGGGCTTAAGTGATCCTCTTGCCTCAGCCTCCCGAGTAGTTGGGAATACAGGCATGTGCCACCATGCCTGGCTAATTTTTTTTTTTTTTTTTTTTTAGTGGCCCAGCTAATTTTTCTATTTTTAGTAGAGACAGGGTCTCACTCTTGCTCATGCTGGTCTCAAATTCCTGAGCTCAAGCAGTCCTCCCACCTCGGCCTCCCAGAATGCTAGGATTACAGGCATGAGCCACTGCGCCCAGCCTCGTGATGGACATTTGGGAATATTTCTAATTTCTTTTTCTTGAATGAATCAATCACTCAATCTAAGTAATCTCTCTCTCTCTCTCTACACATGTGTATACATACATACATATTTATGCATGTTTACATCTATATATGTGTATGTTTTATGTTACATTTCTAAAAAAATCTGTTGTATTCTTGGGATATAATACGTGTTGCCTTTTCTCTGGGTTTGTGGAGCATCCAGTAGACGTGGGCACTGCTGTTGTAGCAGTCTTGTGAGGAGCACTATCAGACATGGTGGAGATCTGTTTCAAAGAGAAATACTCAAAGTGCTCTTTACCTTTAAGGACTCCTTTTATGAACCCTTGCAGCACAAACAGGGGAGGGGAGGTTGAAGACCCTTCTCTCTGTTAAAGCAGCAGCTGGTCCCAGCCTTGCAGGAGACAGTTGTTGATCAGGCCTATCTTGTTTAACTCCTCTCAGGTCATGGGTCATGCATAAGCGGGGACTTCGCTGTTTAAAGGAGGGGTTCACTCCTTTAACAACGTGCACATAAGCCAAGCCATCTTGCTTGAAAACTTCCTCTGATAAAACAGCTCAGTGGATTCCAGGCAGCCTGCTGATAAAGCATGTAGGCAGGAGGACCTAATTCCTCATTAAGACAGCATCATCCTCTCTCCATATGCCTGGGTTTAAATTTCCTAGAACAGATGCCAAAGTTGGAATGACTTCCACATATGTAGAAAAGCAGAGTCATTTTTTAAAATTTCTCTGGAAATGCCTTAAGGAAGGGAAAACTATTATGTGATATCCTGAAAAAGAATAAAAGAGAATGCTGGGAAGGCCAGTAGTAGATAATTTCTTATATTTCCACAGCTATACTGTCAATGAAATATTGATAAGGTCAACACACGTTGACTCCTTAACATCAAGATTCATGATGTCTCATTTTTTAAAGCAACACATTAATTAGTTTGAATTCCCAGGATGTTTTTCCAAAAACCTCAGTTTAATTAGCTTCCTTTTGCAATCAAGAATGTGGAAGCAGCACCTTAGTGCTGAAGGAATATTTTGGCAGTGGGCAGAACTAAGAAAGCTTTGCTGGCTTTTGAGCTTCACTGTAAGGTATTACTTACTCATTATTCAAAATGAAAAGAGTTGCCTTTTCTGCTTTATCAAATTTAAGGAGAAGTCTTTGTGCATGTTCTCATTTTTGGTGATTTTTGCCTTTTTGACATTTAATATATGACACAATTTCTTTTTTTCCTTTAACAGCTACCATTTAGCTAGCCTCACATTTTTACTCTGTCTTCCCCTGGCCCTGTTTGAGTAGATTTGGAATGGAATCCGTAAGGCTGATGACGGTGGTCTGGCGCCTCAGCCATACCCCATCAGCAGTGGTATGGATAAACTGGTGTATATCGGACAGTCTGCCCTTATGAAAGAACCCAAAAGCTCCTGCTGCCCAGGTCATTTGGTCTAGAATAGGGTTTCTCAACCTCAGCACTATTGACATTTTGGGTCAGATAATTCTTTGCTGTGGGGAGCTGTCCTGTGCATTATAGAATATTGAACAGCAACCTGGGCCTCTACCTACTAGATGCCAGTTGCAACCCATCCCCCTGTCACTCCCCAACTGTGACAAACAAAAATGTCTCTAGACATTGCCAAGTGTCCTCAGGCCAGGGGCGAGAGAATCATTCCCCATTAAGAATCACTGGTTTAGAGAATCCTGAGATGAGTAGATCTGTTTCAGGGCAGACATCTGATTTTTGTCCACTCTGCTTGCTAGTGTCCTGGCCTTCCCCTAGTATGAGAACAAGTCTCTAAAGCACCCCTAGACTTGACCAGCCTAGTTGGGGAGGCTGTTTTGCCCAAATGGGATTCTCTGAAGAGACATTCTAGGGCAGGAAGAGTAAATGAACTTGGAGGTTTTGGTGGGGTCCTAGCCGGATAATGGCCTCCCTTGCTCCTCTTGCAAACTTTCAAATTGTTGTTTACCTTGTTTCCCTAAAATATACAGCTCCTGTGAAAGTTGACCATAAACTCTTCGGCTTTATTATCTGTTTCCCCTCCTTTTTTGTAGTTTCCTGCAGATCTCCGAGCCATTCTCCCTCATTCTTGTTTCAGTTTCTTCCTGCAACACTACCTCTTTCCATATCCTCACTGCTCATTTGACACAGATCACTATGTCATTCTTGAAACATTTTATTTACTTGATTTTAGGGAACCACGCTCTCTTCTGCTAAAATCTTGTAGTCTTCTTGCTGGAGTCTCCTCCTCTTCCTAACTTGGAAAATTTGAAGTGTCTCTTGGCCGGTCCTTGGTGACTACATTCGGTCTCAGAGTTTTAAATATTATCTCAATGACAAACATTTCTATAGTGTTCACTGTGTTCTAGGCATTGTTCTAAGTGCTCTTCAAATATAAACTCGTTTAATTTTCCTAACAACGCTTGACGTAGGTGCTTGTTCAAAGTTGCATAGTTAGTGAGTATTTCTGAGTGTGGTCTACCTACCAGTCACCTGCATCAGAAGTGCCCAGGGTGATAGTTTAGCACCCACCTCTTAGGGTAGGTATAAGGATTAAATGAAATAATTCAAGCAAAGCACTTGGCATAGGACTTCATGAGTAGTAAGTACTCAGTGTTGCAATTCTCACCATTATTTCCCAAGATATATTGTTAAGTGAAAAGGAAAGGTATAAACAGTAGATATAATTTAATTCATTTTTTCAGTTAAAAAGTAGATGCTAGTATAGACCAGTGGTTCTCAAACTTTTTGGTCTTAGAACCACTTGAAAATCATTAAAGACCCCAAAACGTTCGTTTGTGTGGATTTATCTATTGATATTTACCATTTCAGAAAATTAAAACTGAGAAATTTTTAAAATATTTATTCATGTTTAAGTAACTATTACAAATACATGTTAACGTGAATAACATTTTTATGAAGAATTTCTTGTTCAAACAAAAAATGGGTAAGAAGAGTAGCGTTGATTTTATACTTTTGCAAATCTCTTTACTGTCCAGCGGAATAGGATACAGCTGCAGGCTCATATTTGCTTCTGCATTTAGTCTGTTGTAAGCACCCAACATGTGGTCTCTGGGAGTGCCACTGTGTGTACTCATGAGACAGAGTGAAAAAGACAAAAAAAAAAAAAAAATGAAAATAGTTTTGATCTGAGGATTACCTGAAAAGATGTCAAGAACCCCCTGGGGTTCCGTAACCATACCTTGAGAGCCACTTGTACAAGCATAAGAAAAAACCTTGAAATATAAAGTTGCTAGTCAAAAGAGAGATGATAGCTTTCTATTTTTTGTATTTATGTAATGTTGAATTATTATAATCATGTTATTCTTATTTCTTGTGATGATAAAAATAAAATTTAAAAGCAAAGATTGAGACCACTTTCAGAAAAGTGAAATAATGGATGCAAAAAAGATGGAAAATTGGGTAGACACAGGGACATGTGGACATGGTGAAGAAAAACTTCACCTGCCTAAAATTTTAGCTTAAAACCAGACCTGTGACTAGTTTATTACCAGGCATGTTAGATTCCTAAAACTGTAATGAAGTACCCCAAACTGGGTGGTTTAAACAACAGAAATTTAATCTCTCACAGTTCTGGAAGCTAGAAGTCCAAGATCAAGGTGTGGCAGTGCCACGTGCCCTCTGCAGGCTCGAAGGAAGAGTCCTTCCTTGCCTCTTCTAGCTTCTGGTGGTTGCTGGCAACCCTCGGCATTCCCTGACTTGTAGGTGCGTTACTCTCATCTCTGCCTGTGTCTTCACATGGCATTCTCGCTGTGTAGCCGTATCTCTGCATCCAAATTTCCCTCTTCTCATAAGGATACCAGTCGTAACTGCATTTAATATGCACCTTAACTTGATTATTTCTGCAAAAACCCTATTTCCAATGAGGTCACATTCACAAATATTGAGGGTTAGAATTTTAATTTATTTGTCTTGGAGACAAAATTCAACCCACAACACTAGGTCATATATAAAAGCAAAATATAGATACTCTGTATAAACTTTCATTCTTTCTATTAATAAAACTTCACTGCTGTATCAGGTCAGCCAAAAGCATGTTTCTTATGCCTTTGACCATCTTAAATCCAGTCTTAGCCTAGCCTGTGAAGATCGTAACTGCTAACTCTCCCTTTGTGTTCTTACTCGTTTCTCTTTATAAAAAATAATCAGAGGGAGCTGCAGTTGCCCCATCCATAAGGGGCTTGTATCCTTCCAGCATTTTCATCATCTTCTCCAGGCCTCCCAGCTGAGAACTAGAAGGTTTTGAGATTTTGTTGTCAAAAATTTATATAGTTGAGTATCACTATGGGCCATATGTTGCTCAGAAATTTATATATACTGTCTCAGTTAATTCACATATACCATGGGTATATTTAAGTTACGAGGTAATTTATGCTCATTGTGACAAGTCAAAGAATAGGAAGTTACAATATCCCCTCCGCTCCTACGGTGCCCTCTCACCGAGGTGATCAACACTCGTAGTTTGGCATTTATCTTTCCACGCGGTTTTCTTGGCTCATGCAAATACATGCCTGATCATGTAAGGAATTTGAGCAGAGTTGATTTGTGTTTTAACCAAGGTTGCGTGAGAGAAATAAGCCGTCATGGGGATGGATGCTCGATTTCTGAGCATCTTCTGTGAGGGCTCCCTCACTCCAGAAAACATACAGGTTTTGAGATATGTGATGCCATTTCCCTTGACCTCTTTTCTCACTTATTTTATCTATAGTCTCAATTTTTATCTCAAATCACTTGTTTTTATGATCCCTTTATTAAGGAGAGATTAGGGCTGGATGAGCAGAGAGAGACAGGTTTTTTGAGCCAAATTTTCAATAGCTTGCACAAAGAGTAACTGAAGCTCACTACATCTTGAGCTTCTTGCATGCAGGTATCATGTTTTTCTTGTGTATCCCTCCCAGCACATAGAACAAGATCATGTAGACAGAGGCAGTAAATAAAACCTGTGAATTAGTAAATCAGAGCTATGGCTTACAAATTCCCAGTTAACACTTTGCACCTGTGACCTTTGAGTTTCAGCTTCTTGTTGATTACGGCACCTCTTTGTTACTGGTTTAATTCTGATTTTCCGCTTTCCTTAAAAGTGGTGATATTTATTTTTAAATTCATGTGAATTAAAACGAGTTCTGTCTAGATAATTATCGTAGGTGTTCATTATATACCCCTTGTAGGCCATTAGACATATCCTGGGGTGTGAGCGATTGACCTTTGGGGGTTAGTTTGATAGTATTAATAGTATGAGGCTGCCCTTTCTGTGATTTGTGAAGAGGAGCACTTCTAATGAAAGCATACTCTAGAAAATATGCACCTCTGGGACTAATCAAAGCCTGTGGAGCATTAAGGACTGTTGATTTGCATTTTTACCCACTTATGTTCAAGAGAGAAAATCTTCATGAAATCACTGATTTGTAAAAGAGAACTATCATTCCCTTCCCAAATTGTTTGCAAAATGTATTTTAGGGAATATTTTGCAAAAGCTTTTATTGTAAAAGTGCAAGGATGTTTTTAAGAGGAAAAGAGCTAAATGATTATTTGGGCGATGAATTTCTGTTGCCTTTTATCTCCCCTTTTTCCATTCTTAAATTTTCTAGTTCCTTCCTTCTCTCTGCCTTTCCATTCCACAGATCACATTATTTCCCATGTATACAGTGTTTCTTTTGTTTTTTGTTTTTTTTTTCTTAAAATTGTCATGGATAATTATGGGTGACTTGATTGATGAATTGATTTAGAAGTTGTTAAGCTTGGTTGTTGAACGAAGCAGAGTACCATTATGTTGCGATGGGGGACAGGAAGAGTACCCTTTAAACCCTCATGCAAGCAAGTATCGCTTGAACACAATCACTTTCAAAGCATTTAAGATACCCAGATGTCACATTGAACTAAAGACAAAGTATACAGTGAAATACGTTTCTTTCTTTAAGTGTTTTTGAAGTGATTGTTGGCATGTTTCTAGATTCTATGTTTGCTGTACTTACAAATAAAGAAAAAGTAAGTCTTGGAAATAAATGCTGTACATAAAAACACACTGATCTCCAAAGTCAGACTTTCTGTGAACCTGTGCCTTCTTTTTGATCATGATTTGCTTTTCTGGATTTGCCTGATATTGTTGTTTAGGTTTACTTATTCAGTAAATTATTGGCAAGGCAGCATGTCATATAGAAAGGAAAAGTGTTTAATTAATAATTTCTCAATTATTGAATAACCTAGTGGTAATCGCAATAGTAATGATAAACCATGGGTTTATCAGCATTATACTCTGTATTGACTATGTATAGTGAAGTTTGGTGGTAAACCATCCCTGATGCTGGAGAGAGTTCTAGCTAGACACAGTGTTAATTTTATTTGCCATTAGGTATTGTCATTCATATGACTGATAACCTGAGCTGTCACTGTCAGGATTTTTCATATGCTGGATGCTC